ACGGGCGACCCAAACACGACAAACATATACTTAGGTAATCTGAACCCTAAGATGACTGAACCGCAGTTGTGTCAGATATTCGGCAAATACGGACCGTTAGCCTCAGTCAAGATAATGTGGCCGCGAAGTGATGAGGAGAGGTCGAGGAACAGGAACTGTGGTTTCGTGGCCTACATGAACCGCAAGGACGGGGAACGGGCTCTCAAAGCACTCAACGGCAAAGACATCATGGAGTACGAGATGAAACTGGGTTGGGGTAAGGCTGTGCCCATACCCCCGCACCCCATATACATACCGCCGGCGCTCATGGAGCTAACAATGCCTCCGCCGCAAAGTGGACTGCCGTTCAACGCACAGCCCGACGCCAACGATCCCGTTCCCCGCGACCAGTGGAACGATAAGGAGAACTTCTCATATACATACCGCCGGCGCTCATGGAGCTAACAATGCCTCCGCCGCAAAGTGGACTCCCGTTCAACGCACAGCCCGACGCCAACGATCCCGTTCCCCGCGACCAGTGGAACGATAAGGAGAACTTCGAGCGAGTGCTCCAGTCGGCGGTCGTCAAGGTGGTCGTGCCCACCGATCGTACACTCCTGTGTCTTATACATCGAATGGTGGAGTTTGTGGTCAGGGAGGGCCCCATGTTTGAGGCCATGATTATGAACCGGGAGATCAATAACCCGACGTTCCGTTTCCTGTTCGACAACCAGAGTCCGGCGCACGTCTACTACCGGTGGCGACTGTTTTCCGTACTTCAGGTATGGTTTGACAACTGGTCTACGATTTTATGTCACATTTACTGATATATTGATCGCACCGTTAGGGCGAACACCCGTCCAAATGGCGTACAGAGGAGTTCCGTATGTTTGAAGGCGGCTCCATATGGCGACCGCCGCCTCTGAACCCATTCCTACGGGGAATGCCCGAAGAGTTGGTGGAGGCGTCGCCGCCCCCGTCGCCCGAGAGGGCCGACCGCCAGAAGCGTAAACCCGAGCGCCGCGAGACTCGGGAGTCCAAGAAAGGGATGTTAAGTGAGACCCAAAGGGACCGATTGGAGGATATGCTGAGGAATCTGACGCCACAGCGAAGTAAGATCTTGGAGGCGATGGTCTACTCTATCGATCACTCGGAGAGCGCCGAAGAGATCGTCGACTGTATCGCCGAGTCGTTGGCTATTCTCGAGACACCGCTCTATAAGAAGATCGCAAGACTTTACTTGATTTCAGACATTCTGCACAACTGTTCCGTCAAAGTGACGAACGTTAGCTTCTTTAGGAAAGGCTTTCAGTCCAGACTTGTGGACATCTTTCACGACATACACCACACCTATAATGACATCGAGGGTCGGCTCAAAGCCGAACAGTTTAAAGTGGGTTTGCATGTCAAGTGTCTGTCCTTTTTGATTGTGTATTAACTGTGCGTTTGGTGTCATACGACAGCAACGGGTGATGTTGTGCTTCAGGGCGTGGGAGGAACAGGCGATCTATTCGCCCGACTTTCTCATTAAACTGCAGAATATATTCCTGGGTTTAGTGCAGAGGGAGTCGGAAGTGGAGCGTAAGAGCGAGACCGAGGATGACGTCGATGGTGTGCCTATAGGTGAGGGAGATATTGATGGCGTGCCTCTCGATCTCGATGGCGAGCCGATGCCGAGTGTGGACAGCGGGTCGTTGCCTAAGTTCAAGCCGTCGAAGTGGGAGACAGTGGACCCGGACTTAGTGGAGGCGCAGGCGATGACTACGTCTAAGTGGGAGACTCTGGAACAGACCGCTGATGATGAGGACATCGATGGCAAGTAAGTGATAATAAAAGTGTCTTTTTTATGTCGAATTAGTACTAATTGTGTGTTTGTGTGGACAGACCTTTCGACCCGTCGCCCAATAGTTGCGAAGACAGTCGCGGATCCATGTTTTTGGACGCTTTAAAGCAGGAGCTCTCGAGCAGCCATTCCTCAAAGCGGGCGAAGTTAAGGGAAATTGAGGTCAAAGTACTCCGATATCAGGACGAACTCGAGTCCGGCAAACGGAGCCGTAAGTCCGGCCATACTGTCCCCCAAATGGTTGAGGAGTACAGACGGAAACTCTTGAAGAGAGCTGACGATAGTAACGATGACTTCGAGGCTGACCGCAGAAGTGGTGGTCACTCGCCTAAGAGTAAGAGGCGGAGTAGATCTCGAAGCAGATCCCGTTCCCCTCGAAGGGGTAGTCGAGATCATAGCCATGATAGCGGTCACAGTCATCATAGGCATAGATCCCGGAGCCCTTCTCGTAAGAAGAGGTCTCCCTCACCGCATAAGCGCCGGAAATAAGAGGTTTTTTGTTTTCAATTGTATTTAGTTTTTAATAAAACATTTGTTTTTTGTATTCATTTTATAACTTAATTTAAAATCAATTATTATAATCAAATGGCATTCAAAATAAAATCATTCATTCATTCGTTTCCCTGTCAGCTGTCTATCACTTAAAAAGTTGGATATATTTTACAATTAATTAGTTTAAGAAAAATATTATTTAAGTATTTCTTAGAGTATTATTATAATTATTATTTAAAAACAATTCAAAAATAAAATTCTTTATAAATTAAATATTACTAAAAAGTAAATTATTTTCAATTATAAAACTTGTAATAATTATTTGTTTCGTAAGATAAATGGCAACGTTTGAGACAAAAGTATTGGCAAATAGTGTTGAATATAACATATCATTGAGTTTTGAGTGT